GATCAAATTTGATTCGGTTGTTTCGACAGATTTCGTGCACACCAGCTGAGGCGTGGCACGAATCTGTGCTATTTGAATCATAACTGGCTGAGCAATTCCCCGCTGATTTCTCGTGCCGCTATTTTACTTCGACTAACGTTATTCTGTAGTCTTTCAGAGTGATTCGAATGGATAGAGGGCATCCGATGACGCAGGATGTTGTTAGTCATCGTCGCTACAATCCACTGATGGACGAGTGGGTCATTGTTGCTGCAAATCGGATAAAGCGACCATGGCAGGGCGAGAAAGAAACTGTTATGGCTGCCAGCACTGCTGGAAGCATTACTGCTGCTGCTGCTGGTAGTTCTGAGAGAACTGGTGACAGCGGAAACAACCGAGAACCAGCTGCTGCTGCTGCTGGAGAGGAATGGAAGTCAACGAATGCCTTGGCACCTGGAGGTCATCGGGCGAATGGTCTGGTCACCCCGGAGTACAGCGATATTTACATATTCACAAACGATTACCCATCGTTTACTGATGATGGGCAAAAATTGGCGGAACCAGAAGACTGCGATCAAAGCGGTTTATTCAGGAAGCAGACGATCCGAGGCACATGCAGGCAAGGATTCAGGGACTTTTCGATCAGATTCGCTGTTGATACTGCTTACTGTATTGGAAGCGGCGGCTGGGCACAGAGCAGTCATTTCCCGTGGCTTTGATGATGGGATGGTGCTTTTCCAGAGTGATCTGTTATCACCCGAGCAGCAGTCTCTCAATGTCGCAGATGTCGCTCGAGCAAATCGAACTTGTGATCGATGCTTGGATTGAGCAAATCAACGAGCTGCAAAACAAGTATGCCTGGATCCAGGTGGGTTTTGTACCGTTCAGAGATAGCTAGTTGATGAAGACAAGCTCATCGTTGTACAGTGACATGTCTAGCTGAGAGGGGCTTCCATTCTGTTGTGCCCAGTAGACGCCGCAGTTGTCAGTTGGAAGACGGATTGGGTAAAGTTTTTAAATTTGATAAAGAAAGTTGAGAAGCGCTAATTACAGTCGCATCACAGTCAACGGCAATGCATAAGCTGAGCAGGGACATAAGCGGATCCAGGACGGACTCATGAGGGAGGCGACAGGGGGCGGAGAGAGTGGGCTCTTGAGGGTGAGATGAGGGGGTAAGGAGGAGAGTCCCCTCCCACCCTGGAACTACGCATAAAACAAGGAATGGAGTTGTATCGCTGCTACTTAGAGTTACTTTAGTCCAAAGCTACTTTAGGCTTTAGTTTAAGCTTTAGACCCGGACTTTTGCAACACTGGTGCCTGTGCCGCCGGGAGGGAGGGGTAGGGACCCCTGGATCCGCCTGTGAACAGAAATGTGACTTTGAGATACAGTGATCTACAATCAGTGTTTAATAGACAAGCATTGCGTGCTAGCAAGAACGAGTAC